AAAAAAAAAAAAAAAAAGAAAGAAAGTTAATCTTTTTACTGGAAGTTGCTTGAAAAAATCATTTCCTTTCAAATGCCAATGAAATAACAAACGAACATTGATAATTACTCACATGGATACAAGTTATTATAGGTGTATCCAAAATTATGTGAATTGTTTAGAGTATTTGTTATTCCTTTACCATTTAAAAAAATTTTAACATTTATTCATTTTTGAGAGACAGAGAGAGACAGAGTGTGAGCAGGGAAGGGGCAGAGAGAGAGGGAGACACAGAATGGGAAGCAAACTCCAGGCTCTGAGCTGTCAGCACAGAGCCCGACGCGGGTCTTGAACTCAAGAACTGCGAGATCATGACCTGAGCCGAAGTCGGACATTCAACCGACTGAGCCACAGGCACCCCTCCTTTACCATTTTTTACAAGTATTATGCACCTGTTATACATATATAAGGATAAAGATATGCTATATACATATTTCTGTTTGGATATTATGTTTATTTTTTATGATTTTAATATTTTGCATAGGAATTCCTATTGGTAAGGAACAAAATAATACATTTCAAGTTAAAATAGGAACTAACCTCAAGGGAAACAGTAGTTGCTCTGTTAGGCAGTATTGAATAAGTTTTCTAGATTTTTACTTTCTTTCAGGACTGTTTTCTTCCTTCATTGTGCTCAGTCTGTTCCATTAATAGTTCTTGAGTTTACCTCGGAGGTTTCACTGCCAACATCATCAATGGTTTAGGGAAAAACAATTTTGTTAACAGTCATTTATAGCAAAGGACGATCTGAAGCAGACAACCTTGCTGCAGAATTTATTTTCAGACTTTTTAGTAGAATGTAGGCTCCCACTGTAGCTATCGCTTTAACTTCCCATTGACTGTCAGTTGAAAATATACAGAAAAAGATAGGCTATTTGTAGAATTCTCCATAAAATGTTTAAAGATTATATGTTTCAACATATTCAACTGACAACCCATGCTTTACATAAAAATAATCACACATTGAAAAGAAATAAACACTTTATGGACTATAAAACACACAGAACAAATTATTCCTTAAGTCATGTTTCAGAAAGTAAAATGAAATTTAAACAAAAATGACATGAAGAATAGCTTAGTATTATATATTATAATGACATAGCACATAGTAAGCAATAGTATTATTTTAATATTTTAAACAGTAAGTCCATTTCTTCTGTAAACTCTATTCTTATGTATTGAAAAGTGGAGACTTTTTTTTTTTATTTTTTTAACGTTTTTATTTATTTTTGACACAGAGAGAGACAGAGCATGAACGGGGGAGGGGCAGAGAGAGAGGGAGACACAGAATCAGAAGCAGGCTCCAGGCTCTGAGCCATCAGCCCAGAGCCCAACACGGGGCTGGAACTCACAGACCGCGAGATGGTGACCTGAGCTGAAGTCGGACGCTTAACCGACTGAGCCAACCAGGTGCCCCTGGAGACTTATTTTTTGGCATTTAGAAGTAAAAACTCAACTACATTACGTGTGGCCTTACATTAAAACCCTCTGACTTTCAGATTCCAGTTCATGTGGTATTTTCAAATCCTATTTAATAATTTAAAATATAGTATTTATATGTAGATATGACATTGGATTTATAAAAAAAAATACTTTTTAAAAATGATATAAAATTGTGAAATAAAAATTACCAATTCCAAAATAGTAATTTGAATAAAATCATAACCTAGATATGTGTGTATATATATATATGTGTATATATATATATGTGTGTGTATATATATACACACATAAATATATATATAAAAGCTATGCCTCTCATTAGATGTATTAATGTGTGTTACACACATTTCATATATAGAGAGTATTAGGTGTATATATGTGTGTATATACACACACATACTATATGTTATGTTGTGTATGTATACATATACATATAGATGTATATGTATGTGTATATATTTATACATATATACACACACATATATATAGTGTATATGAAATATGCCTGTCATTAGATGTATTAATGTGTGTATGTAGACTTTTTATATATATACAAGGTATTAGATATATATGTGTATGTTTATATACACACATACTTTGTTATGACATCTATGTATATATATATACACACATATATATAATATATATATAAAATGCCTCTCATTAGATGTGTGATCCCTGTGATTCTGAAAGAAGAGACAAATAGCTTTGAAACTATACTGGGCAAAACAATCATGACTTTCTAAATAATAACTAACGTAAGAGCAAAACTCCTGTTTAGAAGTCAAATAAATCACTAGTGCCTAAGAGGACAAATAATATAAAATCAATCAGATAAATGATCCATGGGTAATTATCGTGTGGGATCCTCAGGACCCATAACTTGGTTTTAAAGTATAAACTGCCTTTTTTTTTTAAAGTTCCTTGAACACTTTTCTGTAATGGTTTAGTGGAATCTTCTACAACCTGATCTCAATAATAGTTTCAAATAATAATAATTTCAAATAAAATAGTTTCAAACAGTAATTGTTTTTAGCATTCCTTAAAACCAGTGACTCCAAACTTCAGCCTCCAGACATTAACTTCCAGACATTCATAGGACTCATCTTAAGAGCTTCTTTTATGTAGTTTTCAGACTGCAGTTCCGTAAGTCTTGGTTGGGGTTCTACAGTCTGCCTTTTGGGCCATCTGGGGCATGTGGCCAGCAGGGTATGTTGATAGATCCCATTTTGGTATTCACAGGCTAAACTGCCTTGAAATGCCCAAGCACATATTTTCTTTTATAGGATTAATGCATTCAATAGCATGTTACTCCTATTATATTCCGAAAGCACTCAGGGCATATAAGTGTAATTGCATATTTATGAAGGTAATAAAATGCATCCCCAAATATCTTCATAACTGATAAATTTCACATGTCTCTCTTTCCTTTTCTAGGGAGGGCTGATACATAGTAGAAATCTGTTACTCGGTCTTGCATAGATATCTTCTGTCCCGGTACTGTCCTAGGGCATTATTTCTAAGCTGGCAGAGATCACATATTAATGAAAAAAATTCTATTGCTTCTTTCTAAGTTTTAAAACCTTCACTCATATCACAATGAGTATATATTGATGCCATGCTGTCAAGAGGGTCTCAGAGAGTTTAAAAACAAAACTATTTTGCAACCAAAATGAACCCAGGAAATGAATCTTTGTGTTTTGTATTTTAAAATATAATGTCTACCTAATACCATGTATAACAATAATCCAACCTGTGCTAGTTCACAAAGTATTCAGAATATCTACAGTTTTACAATATGTATATGGATTGTTTTGTCTTACATAATTTACTTTAGAGTTTTTTAAATGTTTATTTTTGAGAGAGGAGAAAGCGTGCACATGCGCGCACAAGTGGGGGATGGGCAGAGAGCGAGGGAGACAGAATCCAAAGTAGGCTCCACGTTCTGGGCTGTCAGCTCAGAGCCAGATGCAGGGCTTGAACCCAGGATCCGTGAGATCATGACCTGAGGTGAAGTCAGATGTTTAACGGACCAAGCCACCCAGGTGCCCCTTACGTAATTTACTTTTAATTATCCTCAGAAAATTAAACTTTTTGATGTAACTTTTGAAATAAAACATCCAAACAAGAAGTTGGTATATACTATATGTATATATTGCTAAATGTACATTTATCTTAATGTTATAAACAATGAAGGATATAATTTATAGAATATCCCTATACTTATATTTTCTTTTCTTTTTTTCCTATACTTGTATTTTCAAGTAATATAACAGATTTAAAGTAATGAAATAATAAAACAGATTTAAAAGCGAAGCAAAAAAGAAAAAAAAAGTGTGAACATGGTTTTTGAGTATGCAATTATCTTCTTAAAGATGAGTAAAATAAGACTTACCAAATCTGAGGTGCACAAATGATTTTGATCATACTAAGGAGAGATCAAACATGGATAATCACGGTGTATTATTGAAAAATTTAATATTCACACATTAGTATATGGCACTACCTGAATTCAGATATAGAAAATAGTAAAGCTTAGTTTCACTATGAAGTTTAGGTTAAAAAATATTAAAAAAAAAAAATAGTCACTTTCATCTACTTGCCAGGATATAGACCATCTTGACTACCCAAAAATATGGAACGAGTAGTATAAAATTGGATTAAACTCATCAGTAAGGAATATAGCAGAATAATAAACGTGATTCAGAGAGCACTTGAAGATGTGAGTATTTATCAGCAATTAGAATTGAATGTTGGACTAAAATAAGATTTCTTGGTTAGATATGAAACTGAGTGTTGGCCTTCAGGACAAAAAAAAACATAACCTTTGATGGTATATTTTCTAATAGAGCCATTTGCATTTGACCTGACAAAAAAAAAAAAATCTACAAGTTATCACGTAACTTTACAGAATATCGATCTTTAATGAGGAGTAAATAGTACAAAAAGCAAAGAGCCATTCTAGATATTTGGATGATTTTTGAGCACTCTATTAAAATGTGGCATTTAAAGGGTATGTTGTCTTTCCTTTGTTTTATTTCAAATTTTGGGATAATTTTTTCCTAACAGTATTTCTTCTGGCCTTTCCTTTTATACACGTCCCTTCTATAATATTGCTGTCTAGTTTATGACACCACTTAATAAACTCTCTTCCCTCTCCTTTCTCAGGAATAACCCTTCCCTGGAGAGAAGCAAGTAATTAAGTGTGTGAATTCAAAGGGGACCCCTGCACGGCTATAGCCATCTTGCTAAATAAGAGTAAATAGAAATTGTTTGCAATGTCAACAATTAGAGCAGACATAGTCCATAAGAATTTAGAGGTGAGATTAGCAATAGATAAGCCACTAAATGGGAAGTATTCCTTTTGAGAGTTAATGGAATCTTTATTTGGAAAGTTCTGACATTCTTAGTGTTTCTCTGTGAGCATACAAATGTTTCAAACAGATTTTTCATTCTAATTTTAGATGTTTTGGATGTTGCATTAAAAATTCCTTCATGTTTTGAACAGATATAATTAAATGCTATTTAATGGGCCCTTCAAAATGAGACACTTCAATAATTGACTGTACATCATTCCACAGTGCTTAAGTCCAGAGAGATGATTGCACCAAATTGATCTCTTGACATTTTCCCTCAGCTCTTCATTTTCAAAGTAGTTGGTCTTGTACACATGTATATCAACCAAAAATATTGGAATTCAGAGGAGCTCTTCAGCAACTGTCAAATAAATCTATCCTTCAATGCTTAATTCACTTGAAAGCTAAATTCTATAGATATGATGGTTACCTAAATGAGTGTAATTACTCTTCATTTTAGGGCTTCTAAAAATGCTTCTTTTTTAAAACTGCTCAGTTTGCATTTACCTCAGTATGACGGGATGGTATTTGTTGGTTGGAAGCCTCATTTAAATAAAACCTAACTTAATGTATTTAAGTGCCTAATAGGGATAAGGCTCTGCTTCTAATAGATGGACTTTTTTTTTTTTTAAGTTCTAAATTATTTCATCTCTTGTTTCCACTGAATGGGGATTAAATGTTTGATTCATGGGGCAGTTAAAAAGTGGAAGAGATAGAAATACACATAAAGGTGAAAGTGAACATGATGATTGCATTGATCTTTTTCTCCCAAATAGGAGCTTGGCTTATGTCACTTCCAAAAGCAATATGTTAGGGTTTGACCTTGTGTAAATTATGTTCTTTAACTCACCTGGTAGGATATAATGAGGTTCCTAGCAAATGATTTATGAAGTCAACTTTAAAAGATATTAGTGCTTTTAAGTATTTATTTAAGTTGTAAATAGACATGAAGTCACATGAAACACTGAGAAGAACCCATTTTAGAAAAAATTCAAATAAGTTGGACCCAAACAAGGAATTCAAAAAAGGAAACAACTAAGCAGACAAATCAAATAGGTTACTTAAATATCTGTGATCTTTCTCTGACACACATAAGTAGTCCATTTCCTTATAAAAGTTTAATATTCTGGTTTAATATCAATAGTTTAATATCTAAAGGCTTCTAATATTTACCAAATATTTGCTATAGCCACATCATGGCTCTAGTAATTACAGTAAATTACAGTAAATACTATGTATCTGCTGTTCTGATGAGTCACAACAATGCCATGTTTTAGATCTATATTTATATCACAACCAAGGAAATAAGGAAGGTACTTCAAGAAATTTATCCAATATCACACAGGTAATAAATGGGAGAACTGAGCTTTAAATGGTAACCTGGAACTTTTAGGCCCACATTTTATTCTGTTTCATCATTTTCTTTACAAATATGGACATTATTGTAAGGTCAGTGTTTGACATATCAATCCTTACCCCCTTACACTGGGGTTAAGAAAAATAAGTTAGTTGGCAAAAACTGTTTTTAAGGAGTTACATCTTCTTATTCATTTTAAGAATTCACAAAGATTTTCACTTCGCTTAGGACATTCTTACCACCCTATAAAAATCTCTCTTTACAACATTACACTTTTTCTTTTTTATCCCCATTTGACTCTGCTTAGATTAAACCACTAAATGTATTGAGCCAGTTAAGCTAATTTTAGTTAAAAGATTAGATTAGAATATCATTCAGTGGGCTCAAAAGGAACATTAATATCACATCCGTGTTCATATCTCTTTAGTTTACCAAAATGAGAATGTGTATAATGGTGCGCGTTTGAATGTATGAACAAAGTAATTCACAGTAGTCAACTAGAGACACACATTACTGGATTTTTTTGGTGTGCTACTTATTGTTTCAGAATTTGGAAAACTTGAAAAGTTTAAGTGAGAATTCGGTTTTTTGATCAAAATGTAAATTATTATTTTGTGCCACAAGAAATGATTTTCCTAAGATTCCTTCTAGATCTAACATAACATTTATCGTAGATCCTTAAAAAATAAGCATTGCTGCTGCCACTTAACAGAGGTATAATTGTTAAGGTTTTTAATGTTTTTGAGCTTTGATTTTCTTCATGGATGAAATTAGTATTTGTTATACCTTCCACTTTGAACAGTTGGAAAGCTATGTGAGAGAATGGATAGAGATTGTCTAGTGCAGTGCCCGGCACCTAGTAGGAACTCAGTTCCTAGTAGGAACTTTTTCCATGCCATCAGCTATAGAAATAACTTGGGAAGAATGACAATATTCATATCTCTTTCTTCTATAGATGGAACCATTGTACAGGCAGCATGAAAAGTTATGTTTCCTGGGTTTTGGCAATATTTTACATGCCCTTGTTTATGTTGTATCATTTTAACAGAGCACGATATGAGTTCCTTATATGAGTACCTTTAATTAGATTATTTCAGAATTTTGGTTAAAGCACTGTCATTTCATGTATTTTAAGCATATGAGTTTTATAAAAAGTTAGCAATTTAGGGGCGCCTGGGTGGTGCAGTCGGTTAAGCGTCCGACTTCAGCCAGGTCACGATCTCGCGGTCCGTGAGTTCGAGCCCCGTGTCAGGCTCTGGGCGGATGGCTCGGAGCCTGGAGCCTGTTTCTGATTCTGTGTCTCCCTCTCTCTCTGCCCCTCCCCCCGTTCATGCTCTGTCTCTCTCTGTCCCAAAAATAAATAAAAAACGTTGAAAAAAAAAAGTTAGCAATTTAAAAGGAATATGAGAACAGTTGGCTTTCTGTTTATTTTCCTCTAAGATGCATTTGTTAAAAATTAAAACAATTAAAATTAAAAAAAGAACAGAAAAGAACTTAGAAAAATGATAAAGAACAAGTTTAAATGCCCCCAAATTCGCATACCTAAAGGGAAGAATATTTGGGAAAATTTTCTTTTTATACATTTTATCCACCTAAGTTTTCAAAGATGGGTACATTCTTCATATGATTCTCTATTACTGTCTTTTTACACATAATAAATTAGTATATAGTGATTTCCATGTCAATAATGAAAATGGTAATTATTGTTGTAATAACGATCTGAATAGTAGTCTTTCTGAGCCTCTAATGTATGTCAGATATTGTATAAAACACTTGCTGTATATTATGATATATACCAATCAAAAATTATTTTGTGAAAATAGATAGTGTTTTAATATCCAGTAAAGCATCTTGTCCAAGATTTCATGTGAAGTAGATATCAGAGCCTGTCCTCAAAGGCTTACCTCTTAGGAGCAAAGAACATGCTCATAATTTCTGACTTTGTTGACTTCATAGAACACTAAAATTCCATGACTGTAATCGGCATAATTCTATTTACTTGTTCTAGGTCTTGTATCCAAACTGTAGTGTTCCTAAAAGAAAGAGAAAATATTTTTTTCTTCCTTTGGATTTTTATTTTTTATTGAAATAAAATTAAATACAGTGTTATATTAGTTTCAGGTGTATAATAAAGTGATTCAACAATTCTATACATTACTCAGCACCCCTCAAGATAAGTGTATTCTTCATCTTTATTTCACCCATCCCTCCACCCACCTCCCCTCTGGCAACATCCATTTTGTTCTCTGTATTTGAATCTGTTCTTTTGTTTGTCTCTTTTTTTTTCTTTGTTCATTTGTCTTCTTTATTCATTTGTTCTTTCTTCCCAATATGAGTGATGTCATATGGTATTTATCTTTCTCTCTCTTATTTCTCTTAGCACTATACCCTCTAGAAGACAATATCTATTTTTCATTGTATGTTACTACAAACAGGTGTGCCTTGCATATAGGCAGCTGGGCACAAGTCAATAAAAAATACACAAAATACTTTTAGTAGCTTCATTGTAATTTCATTGTAATTAAATTGTAATTCATTGTAATAAAAAACATGTGCTTTGTGTGCACATGCTATGAAGGATTTAGCTGGTCACTTTTGATTTACACATTTGGTCTTTTAATCTCCACTACTATGAATATCTTTGTGTTTAAATTGTTGCAAATTGTTCAAAATCTTCTGTGGAGAAATTTCTATAATTGTTCAAAGCATACACCCATTTAAAATGTTGAAGCATACTGTCTGTCTAGTACTATTACTTAAAAAGACTTCTCCACTATTGTTTTCATAGTGGTACTATTTCCCTCACTTTTAACTACATGTGATGTGTTTTGTTACATTTAAGTTATAGTTACTAGCTAAAATTTAATCCTACCAAAATTGTAGTACGCTTGCTTTGTACTAGTAAATTCTAAATTTCAGGAGCTTACCACAGTTGATTTTCTTACTTACCAGAAGTCTTTCAGAGCAGTGAGGGCCTCTATTCCCATAGTCATTCAGAGATTAGTTCTTTCCATGGTGTGGCTCAGCCTTCTTCTGGGACTTCAATGTTTTCTCTGTCCATCCAACAGATAGGTTGAACAAATGGAGAATTAATCACAAGGCATAAGCATGCCTAGAAGTGAGTTAATCATTTCCACCTGGATTCCCTTAGCCCAAATTGAGTCATAAGTTCATTTTTTTTAAATTGTAACTCCATTATAGTTAACATACAGCGTTCCATTAGTTTTAGGTGTACAATATAGTGATTCAGCAATTCCATACATCATCCAGTGTTCATCATGACAAATGGCCTCCTTAATCCCCAGCAATTATTTCACCCATCCCCCTGCCCACCTCCCTCTGGTGACCGTTAGTTTCTTCTCTATAGTTAAGAGTCTGTTTCTTGGTTTGCCTTTCTCCCCACCCCCCACCTCTCCCATGAGCATCAGTTTTGTTTCTTAAATTCCACACATGAGTGAAATCATATGGTATTTGTCTTTCTCTGACTGACTTCACTTATCGTAATACACTCATACTCCATCCACATATTGCAAATGGCAAGATTTCATTCCCTTTTATGGATTAATAACATTCCCTGTGTGTGTGTGTATGTGTGTGTGGTATATGTGTATATATGTGTGTACCCATACATACCACTTCTTTATCCATTCATCAGCGGACATTTGGGCTCTTTCCATAATTTGGCTATTGTTGATAATGCTGCTATAAACATTGGGGTGCATGTGTCCCTTCACATGAGTGTCTTGGTAACCTTTAGGTAAATACCTAAAGCAAATGCTAGATTGTAGGGTAGTTCTATTTTTAAATTTTCGAGGACACTCCATACTGTTTTCCACACTGGCTGCACCATTTTACCACCAACAGTGCAAAAGGTTCCTTATTTTCCACATCATTGCCAAAACTTGTTGTTTCTTATGTTTTTGATTTTAGCTATTTTGATAGGTGGGAGGTGATGTCTCATTGTAGTTTTGATTTGCATTTCCCTGATGACGAGTGACGTTGAGTGTCTTTTCTTGTGTGTGTTGGCCATCTGTTTGTCTTCTTTAGAGAATTGTCTTTTCATCTATTCTGCCCATTTTTCTAAATGCATTTTTTTTTTATTTTTTGGTGTTGAGTTTTAGAAGTTCTTGGGGCGCCTGGGTGGCGCAGTCGGTTGGCGTCCGACTTCAGCCAGGTCACCATCTCGCGGTCCGTGAGTTCGAGCCCCGTGTCAGGCTCTGGGCGGATGGCTCAGAGCCTGGAGCCTATTTCCGATTCTGTGTCTCCCTCTCTCTCTGCCCCTCCCCCGTTCATGCTCTGTCTCTCTCTGTCCCAAAAATAAATAAACGTTGAAAAAAAAATTAAAAAAAAAAAAAGTTCTTTATATATTTTGGATACCATCAGATATGTCATTTGCAAATATTTTCTCCCAACCAGTATGTTGCCTTTTAGTTCTGTTGACTCTTTCCTAAGATGTTGGCATAAGGTCAGTTTTAACTTCAATGGGGACTCGGAACTTAGTCTAGCTGTGTACCCAGGGAAAGTAGAATAAGTTTAGTAAACAATGAGCCCATCCCTACCATAGTTTTCCAAACACCTGTTTCAGTCTTCATCTTCCACATACAACACATTTGTGTCTTCCCACTGATGACAATACGTATCCTAGATGAAAAGTATCCGACATCTCTGGACAGTAGTCTTTTCCAAAGATCAAGGTCTAAAATATAGTCCTACCCACCCACCCCATACACCCATCCAAAGTCAAGGGCATAACCAGACAGGACTAATGTGACAAAAGAAATGTCCTGGGGAAAAAAAATGACAGACATGCAGTAGTTCACACTTCATATTAATTTTGAAATATTCCTGGGGGGGGGGGGCGATGTGGAATCTACCAAATGACACGAACTCTCTGATTCGTTATTCTATATAAGGCACCTAGATGTACCTTAAATGTGATATTACCTTCCCATTCTACTTCCATGGCCACCTCTAAAGTAGGCCCTGGCGAGTCCTTTTCTTACCCTGAGGAATCCCTCCTACCTGCTACCTGTATGTGCAAGCCTCAGAATCCGTAAGTTCAGTTGATTTTCAAAGTGCCAGAACGCTTTTAGTCCAAGCTCCCTGTTTCTTTGCCAATGAGATTTCCTCAAAAACTGATAGGCTTCTGATTGATTCGTTTCTAATCATTTCCGTTTGGCAATAAACATAAAGTATTACTTAGACAAAATGTCAGCTCTCCTTTCTTACATCTCACCTCAGTGTCCCTTCCTCTCTCAAATTACTGCAGGCGACCTTGAGGTGATCTGAGTTAAGTGTGGAGGTGAAACTCTTAATCTGATCATTTATGTAAAGCAGTCAATTTTTTCAACTGACACATCCAAACAAGCTTTTTCTTTTTTCTTTTTTTTTTTCTTTTTTAATCTCAAAGATATTTTCAAACCTGATGTTCAGTTGTTGAGGTCTCTATTGCAACCAAAGCGTTCACAAACTTTTAACGCTCTGGACTGTCTCTATTCTTTTTGTTCTCCTACTTAAATATAAGGAGATCCTGCCCTTGCTAATTTCATTCTCAATACTTTTGTGATGCAGCCATCAATAGCCATCACTGCCCACTGAATTTTGTTAGCGTGTTGTTTACCTTGTAGGTTACCGCTGCTAATAATGTTACCAAAATTTGCTACTCCGTAACATGATGACAGACCCAACTGCAAGGTACTAATTTTGATGTTAAATTGAAGGAATACCAGAAGCTCTAATAGACAAGCCTCATGATCTTAATGGTTTAATAGAAGTTTGTTTCCAGTTCAGATAAAGGCTGTTCCATAATGTCATTCAGAGACCAGGCTCCTTCAATCTTGGGTACCTTTCCCTATGTTAAGGATACAGGATCCCATTGGAGTCTTTCATGGGACAGCCCTCCATGTAGTTTTCACTACTTTCAGCCATATTGCTTCCACAAAAACTTAGTGATCATAGCCAAACCTGCAAGAAAGGGAAGGAAATGTAACACAGCTATGTCCTGGAGGAAAGAGATAGCTATCTTAACTGCTAGGACAAAATAAACACTTTAAGGATCAAGTTTCAGTTAATTTTAGCTACCTGTTGAACTTGGGATATAGTCTGGGGGTAAAGAAAGATAAAGACACAGTTTTTTTTTCCATTTACAGAAAAATAAAAATATGAAAAAAGTACCCATGAATTCTTTTTTTAAATAAAAGTAGTTAAATTGTCATTTGTAAAATATTTAAAGCACAAGATGTTTAAATATATTTATGTATAGCATACTGATAGAAATTAAAAGTAAATATAGTCTTCCTCCTAGATTTAACAATTCGAGGGATCCAATTCTATTTTGAGTACTTGTATTTAAAAAGAGGGAAATCCTGATTATATATACATTGCTCATGGAAGAAAAAGCATAATGTGTTTTCAAATACACAGCTGTAATTTCCCAGTACACTGGAAAAAGGCAGAATTGACAGGTGGAATGAGGTCCTTCTCTTTCAGTAGCTGAACTTCCTGTTAAGGCCTCACCAAACCCTTTTAGCCAAATATTATTATGTCACACTGTCAAACCCTTAATGCCTCCCCTAGTTGTGTACTAAGCATCTCCCATATGTGAGAAAGTGTAATTTAATGGGAATTTAAGAATCAGTAAGACTCCTCTACCCCTAAGAGGATTATAGGTGGGTTCATGGTTATCTGGTGGTATTTCTGAGATGGGCAGAATCAGCATCATCTGTGAGCTCATTAGATAAGCAGTCTCAGGCTCCACCAGCAATCTGTTCGTTTTGTTTTGTTTTGTTTAAGATTGATTTATTTTTGAGCGAGAGTGTGTGTGTGTGTGTAAGTGGGGAGGGGCAGAGAGAGGCGGGGACAGAAGATTTGAAGAGGGCGATGCACTGACTGCAGCTGGCTCCATGCAGGGCTTGAATTTACAAGCTCTGAGATCATGACCTGAGCTAAAGTCTGACACTCAACTGACTGAGCCACCCAAGTGCCCCAGCAGTCTACTTTTAACAAGCCTTCTAGGTGATTCTGATGCAAGTCAATGGTTAAGTATAACTGGTCTTGTGAGATCCTTTAGGGACAGTCAGGATCCTTGAGAGAATATGCTTCCTTCCCACCCTTACCTCACCCTGAGCGTCTGTCTCAACCACAACAGTAAACAGTGAAAGTAAGAACCGAGCTTGAGTACTTTTTTGTTTCCTTTACGTGCTTTATGTCCCATACACATTATAAAGATAACCATTCCCTTGGATAAATTACAGCAGAAAATTGCTTGTGAGTATTTAGTAAGGAGATGCATAAAGTAAAATCATGTAAAAAAATTCAGTTCAACAAAGGTGTTTTTTACTTTATTTTAAATCTGCTTGTTTCCCCCCAGAAAGCCTGTAAATTATATAGTTAATGGGGAACAAATCAAAAGTAAAGATCAAGACCATAAGAGGAAGTAAGCAAGTCTGTTCACTGTGATGGTAAATATAGATTATATGATTGAGAATTAGATTTTATTCTTATCTTTCTTTGAGCTAAGATTAAAAGGAAAGCATGATTAGTTACATTGAGATTGTTACTATAGAAACATATGAAATGCTTTGTTGTATGTTCATAGAGATGTTGTGGGAGATATTATTAAAGACATTAAGAGATTCCAAACTCCTTAGCCTAGAGGAGGCAGGCAGATAACTAAAATAAGAAATCAGGCTGGATGGAATAAAACATGGAGAATATAGTGCTAACCTCAGGATGATAGGCCATTGTCAAGTAAGCATGTACTTCCCAGCTCACAGAGATCATTGCCAAACTGGAGACAGGCCAAATTTTACCATATCTCCAGTTTTTTGGAGAGGAGTTAGAAATGTCTATTTTTAAGTAAAATTTCTAAAAGTTTTAATATTTTTAAATAAAGTATGTTTTGTAGTTTTATGTTGAATAAATGACATTCTTCTGATTGAGAATATGCCCTAGACTGCTCACTAGTATACAAATGCTATATTGTGTCCTATTATTTCTGCAAATTGAAAAGAAGATGATTTCTGAGTTTGGTATCAGGAAAAACAACTTGTTTATATTTTGACACTATGAAATACGGAAAAATGACATTGCATCCTTTTTAATCTGGATGCCCAAAGTTTTCAAGTCTTTCCATTCAATTTTTTGGGTCCACTACTAGGAAATATATAGGCCATTTAGGGTTACATTTACATTTACATTTAATAAGCTTCCATTTTCAACTTGTCTTTTTATGCCTCCTTTCTCTGGTC